GCTGCACAATAAAAGAGAGGGGCAAAGTTTGCTCTGGGCTCTTTTTCCTCTCACCAAAAGAAACCTTTGTGTCTGTCATCTTTGCCATCAAGAGGAGCCCACCCAGACAGTCTGTCTGGGTGCAGGTCGTCAGCTGATTCATCCCGGCACTGGGACCTGCAACTCATCAACTGTCAAAGATGCTGGACTAGAAACAGCAAGACCTGAATTCTAGTCCTCCTTCAGGGACCAAAGTGATCTCTCTGTTTTCAGCCTAGACTAGGAAGCAACCTGAGAGTGCTGGCAATCCCTTTCTCCAATGCATGGATCAACGCATGTAACCACCAAGAACCAGGGACCATAATAGGAAGCATGAAAAGCATGGCTGAGGTTCACAGGCTACCGTGATGCTGTTGGACTTTTCTGGCAAGTGTATGACGGCGTCAGTTGTTTTTACTGTAATGCCTGGACACGTGCTGCTTGCTCCTTGAGCTGGTTGCAGTGCTGCCTTTGCCTCTCATGTCCCAGCTTCAGCCAGGTCGGTGCCTACACAAGGCCTGGCTGTGGTATTTCTGCATTTGCTAATGAAAGGAGGGGAGGGGGGGGCTTTGTAATTTTCCTGATTTTGTGTGTGTGTGTGGCTTCCATCCACTTTTACAGTAACACATGCAGGCGGCCAGGCACAGGAGATTTTTGTAATGTGTAGATCTTTCTCCTGGAATGTTTTCTTTCATCTCTAATCATTGCACTGAGGCTCATAAATCAGGCAGTCAAGACAAAAAGCCAAACAAGCATAATTTGCTTCTTCCTGGCCCATGTTGTTTTTGGCACACGGAAACTAGAGACTTTCCCACTAATGACACCATGGGGGGAACTGTGGATAGGAAATGTTAGCTGGTGACTCTCCCCACCTCCTTTCTTCTCTTTCAAGGCATGCCAAGAGATCCTCGAAGGCTGATGAACAGAATGCACATGGGCTTTTGGTTCTTGAGAAGAGCCCATGTTTTTAGGCATTGCTTGCCCACAAAATGTTGAGGTTGGGAAACAGGTTCAGACAATTCAACTATTTGTCTGTTTATCTGCATGTCTTTATGCACATACTTAATCTCTCTCTCACACACACACAGAGGAAGAGCTTAGAACCAGTGCTCCCTAGTGGGGTCAGAACACCTTGCACTGTTGTGTCCAGAGAACAATTCGCTTCTGAGGGGTTGCCATGTATGCGAAGGTGGTCTTGGTGTTCCTGACCTTCCTGTTCGCTTCCTCTGGACAGCACACTCAGCAGGAGGCACACAGTCATGTACTCACTCTGGTAGGATAGATAGAACTTTAATAAGAACCCCCTACGTACTTTTAACCCACCTACATTATTTTCATGTATCCCCTCATCTTTGAGCGGGGCTTGTATGAATGGCAGCTCAGGTCCAGAGGAGGGGGTGGAAATAGGAAGGGAGGCTGCATCAATGGCAGTGTCAACTGTACCTCATTCAAAACCCAAGAAAGAAATCCTTCCACTCCATTAAAATAGAGAAAAATACTTTTACTGAGTTTGAAGTGATAGCAGCAAAAGAAAAGCAAGATCTGAGGCAAATAGGCATGGAAATTACATAAAGTTATACCAATTTCACTCCCCCAGGAGTCCAGACTGGTCCTCCAATCTGAGGTGTGTATAATGTCATGGGTACATCTTCAGGTGGTTTCTCACTCATCTGGTATGCCAAAGACGGTTGACCTTGGCTTATAGAGAGAAGTCTATGCCATTGCGCAGTAAGCAGGAAAGCATCCCCTCCTTATTAGTTCAGACAGTAATGTCTTCGCACTCAAATGCCAAATTTGGGAGGGAAAGGTTGCCCTCATTTCTATGGCAGCCAACAAGAATCAGCAGCAAAAGATGTCAAGAAAACTACTTGAAGGCTGACAGGCAGTGAGGTCTTGATATTGTAATATGGAGAACATTTTCCTCAAACACAAGGGAAGTTGTCACTGTGATCATAAAATCATGCATCTTTTCTACATTCTTCCCTTTAAAATGCAAGTTCTACAGTACTGTTAAAACTGTCATAAACAATTTATCATCCTGTTAAAAATTACTCATAAGCTACATACATTTAATGGAAATATTAACTTTGACCAGAGTTGAGTTGCCTGCAATAATCCCCACAATGTAAACTCAGCATCTGGTACTTATAGGTGGAAGGTGAAAAATCAACTTCCCCTTTTTAAATGCTATCCTTTTTCCTAAATGGCATGAAAGTGCCTTTGCTCACTTTCCCTTAATTTTCCGCTTGCCCTCCTCTGAATGGTTTCCTGGCATTTCCTCCTCCTCCTGCAGTGAGTGACTGAGGGAGTTTCCTTAATGCCCAGGAGACACTGAACAAATTAACTCCCACTTCCTTTCCCTGAATAGCCACTGGATACAAAGGTGGTGGTGGTGGTTGCGTGCAGGAGAAACACAGCCCCTACCAAGCAATAAGTTAGTTCTGCTGAAAGTGCAAACAATGGAGGAATACTGACATCTGATAGGGGCTTGCCCCATAGTTGTCCTCCTTCAGTTTAATATCTTGAAGTTTTAATAAAGTTTAAAAACACAAATGCGATTTTCAATTATCTACCAATCATTGGACTGTATTATTCTATGGAGAATCCCCAGCAGGTCTGCTTCTTTATCTGGCCTACACTGAAGAGCTAACAATAGCGAAGGATGCCCAACCTGAGAGGTGGAGTTTTAAGAAGGTGGAGTCCTTGGAGATCTTTCCAAAATTTTGCTGTGCTTGGCCTGGGACTGTTGCTGGCAAATCCCAGCCTGAAACAGGCAAGACGACCAGGGGAACCAAGCTGACAGTACAGCGAGTACCCAGCCCCCCCACCAGATAAGCCCAGGATAAAAAAAAGGTTGGGGGATCCATGGGTTGACTCGGAGCTAAGCCTGAAGTCAGTCCTGTCAGTATCAGCAAGGGCAAGCTGGGGGAGCAGCAGAATGTGTGGCCAGGAAGGGGAGGTCGAATCGGGAAGCAGGACCCAAGTCGAAGGCTGAATTCGACGAGAGGAGCCACACCCTGCCCCTCTTAGCCTTTGGCCACTGAGAGAAGCATTTCCAGAGAGTGGGAAGGAGGGAGGGGAAGAAAAGCAGATTAAACCTGGTCTTGAAGTCTTTCTAAAAGTCTTGTGTGATTTGTATATGTGTCAGATCAGAATAAGATGGGCAAGCTTTCTGCGGGTGGGGTGTATCATTATATGATTTTACTTGCTTACCATCCAGATACTATCAATATTCCCAAGACTATAACATGAAAGAAAACGGCCCCTCCGTCTGTGCAGCCCTTATCTGGAAAAGAATCTGCTGCCAAAAGGAAAACCATCACAATCATCAATTAGCTCCCAATGATTTAGCATTACAGATAATTGAAAGGGCATTGGCAGCATTTCGTTTCCATTTTAAAATGGTGAAATCCTTCACAAACACAACTGGTTCACCTTGGGCACAGGAACAGGTTTGTGAAACTAGTTTTATCACATGGACATGACTTGCGCTCCAACCGCAGAACATCCCTTTGGGGGAAGGGGAACACGGAGTCCCTTGCTCTGAAGAAATGTTTCCCTGATAGCCACATATAGGCCGATTTTGTAGGAAGAAGAGCAAATGCTTTTATTAGTGCACCACAAAAGTTCCCCATGCTGTGGTCAGGTCTGTAGCTATGCGGGGGGGCGGGGGTGTGTGTGAACATAACTGAGTAGACTCTGTCCAGTACAGAGCACAAAAACCAGGGCTGCTGCCCTCCTCCTTTGGGATCTGCTTCTACTCAGTTATGTTTGTGTGAAAACACCTCTGCCCCCCCTCCACCCTCTATAGCCCAGGAAGAAGCAGTCCCTGCTGCAGGTGAGGTGGGCCCCAGGTGAGCGGCAGGAACACACCAGAGGTTGACTCCCGTACCTCCTTTTACAACACAGAGCAGCACCCATTTGCTTCAGCCCACTTGATGGTTCCTGTGGCACATCCAGTTGCAGAGGATTGCTTCCTCTCCTGGGGTCCCCAAAGCCTTGCCTGCTGACCTGGGGCATCCCAAGCTCCTTCCCCGTGCGTATTCTGCTCCCAAATGTGGTAAAGCGGAAGACATAAACACCAAATGGCAGTGGTGGCAGGAGACAGGGCTGAAAGGCTCCCTGGCGTGGCATCCCAAGTGGTCAACCAGCAGGGACCCAGCTTTCCCGAGCCCAACTAGTTGCCACTTGGAAGAACCATTTTTAAGTTTCCTTTTGCTTCCACATCCCCTCCAAGAGCATCGCAGCAATGCTGGTCCCATCAGAAGTTGGTAAAAAGCGTGAGGCTGTGGAAGGAGCATCAGTGGGGAATGTCGCCAGCCTGCACGATCTTTTGGAACCACGGGTCCTGTGCAGCCGGAACGGCCGTTCCTGCCTCCTGGCAAGGCGAACGGAGAAAAGGACGCTTGGCTGCCCCTCATGCCAGGCCCGGGGAAGGCCCGGGGGCTGCGCCCTGCAAAGGCTCGCTGCCAGTAGCTCTCGGAGGCCCTCCGGGCGATGCAGCCCCTCTGAGGCGGAAGGCCAAGCTCCGCCCGGCGGCAACAGCCGCTTGACCCTGAATCTCGCTGCTTGCCCCGAGTGGAGCAAGGGCCCGCGGGAGCCACTCGCTCCCCCAATCCAGAGTCCCGGGAGGCGCCGCGAATCGCCAGCCACCCCCAAAGAGGCCACACAACCCCGCTGAGTCCCGCTCGGTTGCCGAAGGGGCCCAGGCCGAAGCCCGGCCCAGAGAGGCCTCGCGCTCAGGCCAGCCGGTCCTTAGGCAGCGTCTCCCGGCTTCCCGGGCAGGGCGAGCCCGGCTACTCGCGGCAGCACCCTGGCCCGGCCCTGACCCGGGTGGGGAACCGGGCGCAAGGAAGCGGCCGCCCCATCAAAGTCCCGGCGCCCTCGAGGGGGCTCGCCCGGGGGGGGGGGGCTCGGGGGGGCTCAGGCGCTCAGTGCGCTTGCGCCCCAGAGCCCCCGCGAAGCACTCTGGGAGAGGCGCTCCCGCGGCGGGAGGAGGAAAGCTTCCGGCCGGCCTTCCGGCGCGCGGGGGGCCTCGCTAGGGCGGGAATGGCCGCGGCGGCCGAGGAGGCGGCGGAGGCGCGCAGGATGGAGCTGGAGGCGGAGGCGAACCGCTGGGCCGTCCTCTTCTACGCCCACCAGGCCTTGCGGGCTTTCCAGGCCGGGAACAGCCAGGACTTTCGGGAGCTGCGCGACGTCCTCACCGGTAGGCCCATCGCCCCGGGAGGCCGGTCGCGGGGGAGGCCGGCGGCGAGGGGTCAGCCGCGGGGATCCCGCCCAGACATCCGGGCGGGCTCCGGGGCCTGCGTGCGGGAGCGCTTGACCGCCTCTGCCTTGTTCCCCAGCCGTCCTGGCGCGGCCGGTGGCCCTGGAGGAGCCGCTCCGGATCCAGCTGCGGATTATCCAGATCCTGTCCAGGCTGGAGGAAGGTGAGCGGGGGCGCAGCCCCTCTTTGCCCGGGAACGCTGGGCCG